TACTTTGGACATATTGTCTGGAGGGAACAGTCGCTGAAGAAGGATGTCATGCTGGGTAAGGTGGAGGGTCATAGAAAAAGAGGAAGACACCTAACAAGATGGATTGGCCAGGTGGCATCATTGATGGACTCAAGTGTGGCAGCGGTAGTGAGGTTGGTCCAGGATTAGACATTGTTTCATTCTGCTGTGCATGGGGTCGCTATGAGTCGGTTCCGACTTGATGGCACCTGACGACAACAACAACAAATACTAGGAATAGGGCCTTCCAAGTTTCCACAACAGTGATCCTTCTGGAGCAGTGAAGAGAGCCTGAGGAATTCACACAGGGCCTTTGGGATCTCCCCAAATCATCAACACATCAAGTATCCTTGAAGGTCATTGTTGTCCTTGCTTAGTGCCATTGAATAGGTTCTGATTCAGTGACCCTGTGCAGGTTTCCCAAGGCGTGGCTGGTGAGTTTAAATTGCCAACAGTTAACAGTCCAGTGCTTATTCTACAATGCCACACCGGGACTCCTGAAAGTCATTAGAAGTCATCTTATCCTTTGGCTTCAACCTGGGTCTACGGTCCTGAGTTTTAGAAGCTGCATTACCATTTTGCAACATAACTCAGTGTATGTGTGTGTGAGTTATATTTCATTGTGTTTTCAGAGGGCTCGGAGATCAGCACATCTTAGAATGATCAATTGTCTCATTTTACAGATGTTGTTGTTGTTGTTAAATTGTTTAGAGATGAGAAGATGGAAATTCAGAGGTTAAAAGGTTTTTCCATGTTTCTATAGCCGGAACCTGACAGGGCCAGTTAAAGTCCTCAGATTTCTTTCTGGCCTTCAGGCCCAAGTGCCGAGGTCTGATGGAGGATTGGGCTGTGGGGGATAGGGGTCCTAGGCTTCTGGGGAAGGTGATAAGATAGGTCTCAAGGCTTAGGGGGGTAGAGTATTCTACCATCAGGGATAACAGGTCAAACACTGGTCTCCACCCAGTTGAATTTGCATTTCAGATACACAACAAATAGTTTTTAGTAGAAATGTTATTATTGTTACATGCCATTGAGTTGGTCCCAACTCACAGTGACCCTGTATAGGATTTCCAAGGAGTGGCTGGTGGGTTTGAATCACTGACCTTGTGGCTAGTAGTCCAGTGCTTATTCTACAGCACCACATCAAATATTACATAGGGTGAACTCATAATTCACATTTAACTGGACAACTAGTATACCTTGTTTCCTTTCTTACGTTGTTAACTCTGACAAGCCTGTCTGCCAGGGACAGTGTAGCTGGGAAGCAAACACTGAAGTACCAGTCGACAATGGAGTGTGACGCTGGCAGGACCGCCAGGCCCTCGGCTGGGCTGTTCAGATCTACTTGGTTGTCTCTGAATGTGGATGACCTGGAATTCTCGAGTGCTGCGGACATTTTATTTGCATATGGCCTCTCAAAAGATGACATTCCACAAACTACAAAGAGTAAAGATCAAATTTATTTAGTACAACCCCCTGCAGGGTCTCTGCTGCTGAGCCTCTGAGACAGATGGGGGCAGTGGCTTCGGTTAGGTGTGGTCCCAAGTGACATCCAACAGCAGAGGGTGACTGCTCCCTTATCCCCTCTCACCCCATCACCCACCCCGTAGGAAACACCTTAGCTCTTCAGGAGACTATTCCCTTAGAAGGAATAAATTAAAAAGAAAAATTAGTAAGAAAAATACACATTGCAATTTTCTATTAAAAACAGAATTTGCTGTAGGCAACCATCTTCCCACCTTTCAGCCACCAGCAAGATAAAAGAACAGAAAGAAAGGGGTATAGAAAAGCAGCTTAAGAACATCTGTGCTTGGTCCAACTTCATATTAATTTGGGGCACTGCCCAGAATGAAGCTTGCCTTCGAGTTGGCGTTTCAGAGGCACTGTTGCTGCTGAGAAGCTCTGCTTTCCTGTTGGTGGTGGGTGAGGTCGTAGCGGGAACAGGGGAAGCTGCCTCATGCCCACTGTGTGCTTGCGAAGGGCAAGGAGGCCAGTCACCACAGCCCCTCTGACGGACCAAGGCAAAAAGGACCAAAGAGAAAGAGGAAAACTAGCCCCTATACCAGGCCACTTGCTACAAGTGAGTGACTGCTAAACTAAGACAAGGTTCTGTGAATGAGAGTACTTGGAAAAGTTCTTCATCTCCGTACAAGACAAAATATTCAAGTTTCAAAGTATCCCAATGGCCTGTTTACCCTGAGCCTCCTTCTGCTGCTTCCACTCCTGAGTTCCAGGAATCAGGGAGCGGAGGCTCCACTGGGTGGCAGATGAAACAGCCCCTCTGTATCTCTTTATACCCAACATAAATGCAATAGGATGGATTAAGTTAAGGACTGGCAGCTTGGTTTGGTGGGAGTAGGGCAGGTTCGTAGACATGTGCACCGAGCTCTTAGAATTCGTGAATCATCAGCTCTTCTCAGCACGTGGATGTCCTCCCAGGGTTAGCAGCTGCCAGCCAGTCCTAAGTACCATCAAGGGAGCCTTCCGTTCTCTGAAGCGACAAGAGAGGAAACAAGTTATGGTTCCACCCTTTAGGACCGAAGGCTGCCCTGGTGGGAAGAGATGAAAAATTGCAGACAGCACATCTCAAAGAACTCCAAAGTAGTGCTGCCCCCTGCTGGAACCTCCAGCCTCTAGCATGGCTTCTCTGCCAACTCATGAAATGATTTTTAAGGTCCCCAGGAGTCAGAAGCAACCCAACAGCAATTCACAACAACCAGGGGACAGGGATCCTGTGGTAGACTTCCTGCCTCCCAGGCCAATCAATAGGCCTCACACTCACTCACGACTCATCTGTAAGTGAAGCTGTGTGCTGTTAGGATGTGGCAAGAAAGGCCTAGAAATCTACTGAAAACCAGCCAGTGACAACGCTATGGATGATGACCTGACCCCTAAATTATCATGCGGATGGTGCAGAACCTGCAACATTTCATTCTGTTGCTCATGGAGGTCACCGTGAGTCAGGGTCTGACTTAGTTAACAACAAGGTCTTTCTGTCTGATTCCACATACGACTTTTGTAAGGCTCTCAGATGGTACAGGAGAAATGACTTTGCGTGGCGCTGTAGGATAAGCACTGTACTGCTAACCACAGGTTTTTGGTTCAAATCCACCAGCCGCTCCTCGGAAACCCTATACAGGGGTCACTGTGAGTTGAAACACCCTTGGCGGTTCAACATCCAATACTATGTGACTACCCACCCACCCACCCATCAGCGACTAGGCTCCCACTCTGACCAGGCACTGTGCTGTAAGAATTCAGGAACCCACCCGTAAGAATGTTCTACTCTATCAATCCATAACTCTAGTGGGAGGTAGAAGGTGGGAGAGACCCTAAAAACCACAGAAAAGAAAACCACTCTGGGCTGGGCAGCGAGGGCATCACAGAAAGAGGAAGAGACTCGAGCTGGGTCCCAAAAGTCTGGTGAATTTTGACAAATAAGCTACCAAGAGGCTAGGAAGAGAAGATCAAGGAGGCAGAAGAGTGGAGCGGAAATACTGGAAAGTCTGCCTGTAGAGGAGAGAGGGACCCTGGACAACAGGGAGTCCTGAAGAGCAGGCAGCATCTAAGTCCACTCTCTGTGGACCACCCTCAGGGACCCTGCTGCTAGTGGAGAAGATGAGAGAGCCAATCAGGGTTTGGGGAGCTCAAGGCTGGGCTGTTGGTTTCCTGAGGGACTGGGTCTGAGGAGCCTCACAGAACAGGACGTAAAGTGGAGGGGCCCCAGCTGAGTCCTCTGCCAGGAGAAATCCAGCATTGGGGCCAAGGAAAGCCGTGCTGGTACGGAGCCTGGAGACCTGCCAGGCCAACAGCCAAGCTCGCCCGTACACTTCCTTCACTCCACCCGGAGGAGGGAGACGTGATTCTGTGTCCAGCCTTTCTCCAGGCCCCAGACCGAGGTCCTTTCCAGACACCTCCTCTTGCCCTCTCTGGGGCACTGCTGCAGGACCAGCCCCACAGACCGGAAGGGCCGGGCTGCCGTCTGCAGGGCTTTAGGGATTTTGAAGTAAAGGTTAACGTGCTCACATCTGAGGCCCAGACTTGCTGCCCTTAAACCAGAGGCCAGCTACCAGCCGTGAAATCATGCCACTTTGGCAAGAAGCTGCTCTGGACATTCTCAAAGGCCACTGTGCTTGCAGTCCCATGGAAATCTCCCCTCACCCAAAACCCCAGACCCATGGCCATCAGTCGATTCCTAATCATAACAACCTTATATAGACGAGAGGAGACCAACTGCCCCATCAGGTTTCCAAGGTTGTCATCTTTACTGAAGCAGAAAGCCACATACTTGTCTCAGGGAACACCTGGCAGGTTTGAATGGGTTCCATCACTGACTTCTTGGTTGGCAGCCGAGCACTTTAACCATGGTGCCACCAGGGATTCTTTGGTGGTGGTGGTGGTGTGCCATGGAGTCGGTTCCAACTGTATAGGGTTTCCAAGGCAGTAAATCTTTACGGGAGTGGAAAGTCTCATCTTTCTCCCGCGGAACAGCTGGTAGTTTCGAACTGCTGACCTTGAGGTTCACAGCCCAATTCATAACCACTACGCTACCAGAGCTCCTTAGGGCGTCTCTAGTTCTCCACTTAAGATGCAAGCTCTCTGGAGGGAGTGGAAGGGGAACAAATGGGTCCAAAGCCTTGGTTTTAAAATAATGAACTAACTGATATGTTGGTCTCTTGGTAGTACAAACGGCTAACATGCTCAGCTGGCCTCTAACTGAAAGGTTCGAGGTTTGAGTTCATCCAGCGATGTCTTGGAAGAAAGACCTGGCAAACTAATTCCAAAAACCCAGCCATAGAAAACCTTATGGAGTATGGTTCTACTTGGACACACGTGGGGCACCATGAATTGGAATTGACTTGATGACATCTGGTTTCTTGGTTTTGCAGCTTGTAAAGGACTTTCCACGTATAATACTCATTTTACCCTTAAGAAACCTTAACAGGTAGCACTGTGGTTGAGTCAGTTCTGACTCATAGCAATCCTGTGAAGGGTTTCCGAGGAGTGGCTGGTGGGTTTGAACTGCTAACCTCATGGTTAGCAGCCCAGTGCTTTTCCTACAGTGCCATGTCATTATTGTTGCTCCTGTTTCCCTGACTCATTTTACGGGTGGGGAAGCTTAAAAGGAGAAAATCATGATCATCTAAAAAGAGGCTAGGGAGTCGGAACTCATGCCCAAGTCGCCGGACCCCAAGTCTTGGGACCACAGCCAGCTATCCTGTGGTGGCCAGGAGGGAAGGAGGGGAGCTGTAACTGGGGATGGCCTTTCTCAGAAACGAGGCGCTCCAGGTCTGGAGACCCACATAGGTCCAGATTCACCCCTTTCAGTTCTACCTGGTCCTTTTCACATCATCTGTCTGTCTCAGCTACTAACACAATTTATAAACAAGGCAAAAATGAAGGAGGAAAAATGAAGTCAGAATGTACCATTGAAGCAAGTCAAACAATGCCAAATTAGTATTTGGCTAAGTGGCTATCTCATTGTTAAGATATTTCCTTCAATATGTTTTCAGAAGCAACGGCCATTTAACAAGCTAAACGATTGCCAGGTTTGATTTCAGGAAGGAAATCTCCTCCCATTTCCCTGCTGGGCAATTCAATTAATTTTCTCCTGACCCTCACCAACTGATTATGAGGGAAACTGTACCTGCTTCTTTTAGAAACAAAATCCATTTGCTTCAGGACTCAAACCCCTTTCCCAATGGCTGGGAACCCCTGTGTTCACCAAACAGCTTGATTATTTGGGGACAGGACTGGCTGTGGCCAGACTCTTGGGAGCGTCCGGAGAGCAGACTTCTGGGCTGGCAGGACTGCTGCTGGGAAAAGGGAAAGTTCTGTCTGGCCCGAAGCTCGGAGCCTTTGTCCAGAGAGCCCCTTTGGATGTGAGACAAAGTAAATATGTTGGCCACAGGGTGTTTACTGCCGAGTGGACCCACAGCCATGTGGGTTGTTGTTGTTGGTTGCTAAGTGCCGTCGAGTTGGTTCCGGATTATAGGGACCCTGTATAGGGTTTCTGGTAGTGTAGTGGTTACGAATCAGGCTGCGAACCTCAAGGTCAGCAGTTCGAAACTACCAGCTGTTCCGTGGGAGAAAGATGAGGCTTTCTGCTCCCGTAAAGATTTACAGCCTTGAAAATCCAGTACAGGGTCGCTATGAGTTGGAACCGACTCCATGGCACATAATCACCACCACCATAGGGTTTCTGAGGAGTGGCTGGTGAGTTTGAACCGCCGACCTTGCAATCCAGTGCTTTATTTCACAGCACCATGCCAGGACAGCCATGTATGTGGGGGGTTGTTGTTGTTAAGTGCTGTCGAGTCAGTTCTGACCCATAGTGACCCTGTATTGGGTTTCCGAGGAGCAGCTGGTGAGCTTGAACCACCAACCTTGCAGTTCAAACAGCTTTGCAAAGCCGTCTGGCGCATTAACCCACAGTGCCACACCAGAATGTATGTGGATTGTTGTTAGGTGCCATCGAGTCGGTACCGACCCATAGCGACTTTATGCACAGCAGAACAAAACACTGCCTGATCCTGGGCCAATCTCACTACTGTCGCCACGCTTGAGTCCATCGATGCTGCCACTTGGCTAATCCATCTGGTTGGGGATCTTCCTTTTTTTCTATGACCCTCCATTTTACCAAACATGATATCCTTCTCCAGTAACTGGTCCCTCTTGACAGTATGTGGGTAGGAGAACCAATTTCTCTCAGTTTCACTCTCCCATTCTCCATGATGGCTGATGATGTGACACTACTCTTTAGGGGTCGTCTGGAGAGCCCTGTTCTAGTCCCAGCTCTTCTACTAACTAGCCAGGGGACCCTAGCTGCTTTACAAACCAAGCCTTGGTTTCCCCATCTATAAACTGGGTTCCTTGGCCTCTGAGGTCACTCTCTGATTCCAGTAATCAGAGTCTAGGCTAGAAATAGATATTAAAAAAAAAAAAAAAAAGTTAAGAAGTCCAGGTGGCACTGTAGGATAAGCAACTGTTAACCTCAAAGTTGGTAGTTCAAACCCATCAGCTGCTCCATGGGAGAAAGATGAGACTTCCGGCTTCTATGAAGATTTACAGCCTCGGAAACTTTACACAGCATCAGAATCAACTGAACGCAGTGGGTGGGTTCTATAAGTTGGTATCTTTCTTACATAAAAAGAATATCCGTGGCTTCCTCTCCAGCAGACGCATAATGACTTCTGTTTGACAAGAATTCAGCAAAACAAAGGCAGCCAAGGGAAGGGCCCCCTTGGAAAGGCTATGAGAAATCTCCTAGAAAGCTTCGCCCAGACCCTAAAGAACCTGTTTAAGAGGCAAATTCTTCATTTCTGAAGATAATAGCTGTTGAGTTAACTCCTGCATTGCTGGGAAGCTCACAAAAAGGTTAGAAGTAGGAAGACTGGGGGGCAGGGGGGTGGCATTGCAGTGTGTGTGTGTGTGTGTTGGGCGGGGGGGTCTTTGCAAATTTTCAATTTGGAGCCAGGGATGTAAACTTGGGCCTCTGTGTTTCTCTCAAACCGTCTCACCCTCAGTAGCAGCTTCCTAAATTCTCTACATTCTACAGAATTAAACCTCTAATGTAGCCCCTAAGGTCTTTCAGGTTCGAGCCTTCATGAAGTCTTTCCCCTATCACTTGTCACCTGTACCCTCCAGGTACTCACAACCCCCACCCTATCCTTGTAGGCCTTTGCTCCTGCTGACAGCCAGGATGGAAGAATTCAGTCTTTATGGCCAAGTCAATGATAGCTTTCTAGCCCGGATGGGATGAAACAGGCGTCTATGTGCTTCCTATGTTCCTGCAGCAGGGGTCGCCCTGTCACCTCCTTTACAGCCAGTCACCATGCATCTGACTCCCTCACACTGTTCACTCCTGGGCCCAAGGCATCTGCAACAAGCCAGGTCTGGACTGGTTCACATTGTTTTTCGGTGCCATTAAGTCAGTTCTGATTCAGCAACCTTGTATGGGGTTTCTGAGGCTGTAAATCTTTACAAGACCAGAAAGTCTCGTCTTTCTCCTGTGGAGCGGATGGTGGGCTAGAACCATTGATCTGGTGGTTAATAGCCCAGTGCTTATCCTACAGAGCCACAGAGCTCCAGGCCAGACTAGTCTCTTATTTATTTCTTACAAAAACCAGATGAGGGAGTTTTCTTATCCTCAACTGACAGATGAGAAAACTGAGGCCTCCTCCCACATAGCACCTGAGGTATGATGGGGACTCCACACAAGGTTGCTGGATTGAAAAGAGCTAGTTGTTGAAGGTCCACTCAGCCTAGAAAGCCCTGGCCCTCAGCCTGCCTCACTTCCAAAGCTGGGATAAAGTGATACATTGCTTATTTGAAGCTAAGAGCCCGGGAGTCCCAATCCCATAGGGATATCTCTAGGGTCTCCCTTTGTATGTGGCCTGGAAATCCCAATGGAAAAAGAGAAGATTTGAAATATGCACCGGCCCCAAAAACCTGGCCAGGCTGACACCCAAGCATCCTCCCACCTAGGCTGGTCAGAGGATCCCAGGGCTTTGTGTTAAGTAATGGGGATGCAGAACCTGGATGAGTTTGGAAGCAGTTCACTGTTCCATGGACTATTTAAAATATTACAGTCTATGGAATGAGTACTTACTGAGTATCTGTTTTCCATGAAATCTGTAAAAGAAAGGATACCATGGTGGTGAGCAAAGCAAAGGACACAGGTTAGTTATCCTCACCCACATCTCAGGGACTAGGGGGTCCAGGAAGAGGGTGCAAAGGTGGAAGGAGACATGAGGAGCCTGCAGCTCACAAGATGCTCAGCGTGATGGCTCCACCTGACAAGCACATGAAGTCTCCCGAAACTAACTTGACATTTTTAACCATTTTTTAAAGTAATTGTAGTACTTTATTTGCTCTGCACCAATTTCCCCCATATCAGAGGCATTTTATAACAGTAGATGTACCACTGTTTACTTAACCATTTCCTTACTTTAAAAACACAGGTTCTTTGCCCTGAGATGATCTTTCAG